AGCAAGTAAAATTCAGACCTAATCCATCAGATTCACCTGTGCTGTCTCACGCAGCAGCTGTTAAGATAGTTCACTGAGAGAACAGATAACCTAACACAGCTTTTCCAATTGAAAGAGGATCTCTAATAAAATTTGCTTTGCTTCATTTTAATGAAATTTGCTTCATGATTGCAAAATGAGAATTTTGCAAGTGAGAATTCAGTTTCAGTATAACATCTGAACCAAGTGATGTGCACAAGCCTTCACTTGCCTGATGAGCCTGAGCATTGGTGCACTGCTGCTGTTTGACCCTTTGAAAAAGGAGCCAATATCTAGAACTGCCAAGCTGTGTTATAGTAAAAGGGTTTACTCAAATCGCTCCCTTTTTAACAAAGGCCAGAAGTTAAATGGCTTTTCTCCTCATTCACTACAAACCCAGTTAATGAATGGTTAATATCATGAAACCATTAGAGAGCCATATAGGGAAAGGCACCTGTTCTTAAATAGTGTCCTGATTTGAAGGTAATTTTTAAAGGGTTAAATAGGGCACATCACCTTTCCAATCATCTTTTGTGACACTCCTACCCTATTTCGAATGCTGGGCCTACTTACATGAACAACAGCCCAGATGCACGGTTCATGATATAATCCCAGTAACAGATGCATTATGTATGAATGGAAAAAATAAACATTCATCGCTACCCCACCATTTGCAGTACATTATATATGGCTATCCTTCTCATACTCTTGGTGTGACTGGGATTCAAATATTCTTCCAGCTCTACTCTGACAGTGTTCAACACATACAGAATTAATTACATGCAGCTATTTTTGAAGCATGTCTCACTACCAAATCATTATAAAACAACAAAAACCTGAAACATGAATGAAAACCCCAAACACTTCTAGAGTGTGGCTCCCCTCATGAGCGGCTGGGTTTTACCTTGGCTAAAGAGATGACAACAGTGCTTTCAGAGCTATATAATCCATGTTCCCATTCTTATAAGGGAGATGTACAGCACTGAATTGTTCAGAAGTCATAGCTTTTTCTGGGTGAACACAGGAGTCTACTCAGCTAATAGCAACAGCAGCTTTTGAAGAAAAAAAGAAGTTGGTATGTAGCTCTTTACACTAGTAAGATTTATCTGTTAAGAGACCTAACTGCAATGACAAGGAATGGCCAAAAGCCTATCACAGGACACTGCTTCCTGAAGAATCACTCCAGCTTTGCTCCCAGAACAAGGTGGTGTAGCAGAGAGAAAGGTGACACGCCTGAGGGTGTCTGGTAGGTTTGTAAGTTTGAAGCCTGCTTTAATATCAATCTAAAAGAGTGAGTATCTGTAAATAGAGTGGTGTCAAGACCTACACATTTAGGTAGGTCTGACTTGGTATCAGAAATCAAAGCTTGTTGTCAGTCCCAAGCCCTGTGGCATGGGGAATGTTTTAGGAAGATGGGACCAAATCTAGGATCACTGACTTCCTGCCAAGAACTCTGCCCGGTGCTCTGGGCTAGCGACCTCTCAGAGGAGCAACGAATCTTGGACTGCGATAAAGGGAGAAAAAAGTGTTAAATAACTCTAGGGGACTGTTCTCTGTGGTCAGGTCTGTTGAAAAACAAATGTCGGTTTAGGTTAATACATTTACATGGCAGTTTAAAAAGACAGCTTAAACACATACATCATTTCAGTTGAGAGATGAGCTTAAGGTGCTTTTTTTTCAGTTAACAAGAACTCAAGAGCTATAGTATGTAAAAACATACAGACAAGTTTAGGCAGCTTAAGTTCTGCAAAATTACTATAATTCATTTCTGAAACTTAGTTTCTTTTCTATTCACATCATTAATGATGCCATAAGGCAAAACAGATTGCCAAAGAATAAAATGCAGTTTAAATACAATACTTTCTACTAAGTAAACCTATAGAACATGTAGCACAAGACTCACAGACCAGTGAAGAGGAAAGCTCACACTTACAAAATAGTTTGCTCTATAATTCTCTTCCCCTTTATTGAGTCAGCAAATCTCAAGTCACTATAATAAGACTCCTTTGGAAGCCTTGGCAAAATTACATTAGCAATATTCTAAATATTGGGAAGTTAGACCAGGTTAAAAATACACAATTTATGCCAGCACCAGCTGGCCAAGCTGCTGGAAGTTCTTTCCAACAGGAGGAAAAAAATATTACACATGTTCAACACAATTTAGTATTCAACTGAAATCTAGTATGGTTTGTTGAATGTGAGAAGAAAATGTAGTATGAAGTAGAAACAACTTTCTGTAAATACGGGCCACCAAATACTTGAACATTCCTTGAGTCACCCTTGAAGCTTTGCTAACTACTTTAAACAGCTATATGTACAGTCAGAGATCACCCTAATTTAACTTAATGGGTACTGAGAAAAAAAATCCTTTGGAAACATTTTTCCTTGGTAGAAATCAGAACAGCCACATACAGACCAGCATCATCATCCCCAGCATGAAGCTCTTACCAGCAAGCTAAAAGTCTTGCAGAGGCAAAAGGATGCATATCCACAAAGCACAGAAGAGTCTAGCCAGAACGCTCCCTCGGAGACATTCAAATCGTACTGCTTAGAGCCCCACCCTCGGACACCGCTTTCGTGGGGGATTTCTCTGGCATCAGCTCGTTTCAAAGCAGAGAACAGGACTAACCTAGTTGTGATCAACTGGTAAAACCAAAGAGACAGCTAAAATATGCTCCTAAACTCCAGTACCAAAGACAACTAAATATCCAAATGTCCTTCCTGGATGCCCACTGAACTTATCAAAAACTGAATACCCTTTCATGTCTACTGCATTTATATATACTACATATATATGATATATCAACACAGTAGATATCATATCTATCTAGATATGATCTGTATCTACAGAAAATAACATGCACATTTCTTGCAGGCAATTGACAAAGAAAGAATTCTTACTTTGTAATTTTTCAAATTTACTAGACTTACTTTTAGCCCTGGAACCTGATGTAACATCCTTCCATATTGTACTTTCTAACAATTTTTTTTAGAGCAGTGGTACCAAATTTGTTGTTGTTAGAACTTTGGTATGACTCGAGAGGTACTGAACAGCATGTCCAATTTGCATTGTTATCCAAGGAAGAAGTTCAGCTCTTACGGCCTGGCTGCTTCTGTTAACTACATCTATGGCTAAATCATTGAATTTACATTCAGGTTAATCTCTTTTGGGAAAAGACAAGATATTTGCAAGTACAAGTGTCTTATGAGGACAGCATCTAGAAAACCAACTACGTTGCAGAGTAATGAGGGAGCTGAACAAATGTGTTTAAAAAGGAAAGACTGTATTGTTCTGACACTACAGGCCCGACTCTCCTCTTATTGCACAAAGTTTAGACTGGCGTAACTCTTTTGACTCCTACTGGCTCACCTTTGATTTAGTTACTGGTAGCAACAGAGGAATCAGGTTGTGTATTTACTACACTCAACATTCACAAACGTAAAGGCAGTTTTAACGATGTTGTACAGGAGACTGGAACCAAAGATCTAGTATTTTGCTGAGATTGGTAACTGAACGGTGTACGGGAATATTCGGACAGTAAGACCTAAGAGAAATTAAGCTGTATGGCAGCCTTCTCCCTCAATATCCAAATATCAGGTTTGTTGCTTTAAATACATCCTGAAATATAACAAAAAGTGCAAGAGTAGTTTAAATTTAAATACAGTGTTTATCTTACTAGTTAATCGATTGCTAAACAAGATGTAAAACACACATATGCATAAAAGCTTATACCATGATCTGCAGTGCCATGCTATGCGTAAGTGTCAAAGTCTGGCATTTCACTTGCAATTCATGCTATGTTTCTTTGGTTTTCACCCCTGCTATTAAGTGGAAGAGCACCTGCTTTAGCTTGTAGTCATGGGGCACTTTATCTCTTTAGAGGAAACAAAAATTTGGTACTGGGGCTCTGTGCTTTGATGCAGATGCAGAAATCCCATTAATATTATTAGGAAAGCTAAGGACACAGGGGAGAACACACCACATTTAGATTACTGTACAGTTCTGTAGTCTCTTACATTTAGCTAATACTTCTGACAAAACAGCCCATAATAAAGCTTGGAACTGAATATTGTCTTTTGTTTGTTACCAATAATGCCTATAATACCGGGCTCTCATAGCTGAGCAAGATCCATACCGTTACAGTCACATTTATATCCACATTCAACTTCCTTTTATTAGAAGTATAATACTGCACTTTATATCACAAATGTATAAAAATATGGCAGATAGTGTCATAACAATACTTTTCTTTTAAATGAGTATATTTAAAAAACAGACAGTTATTTTCCATTTATATATATATTTATATATAGAATAAAATACTCCTGATGCAATATATAAATGTTACTGTTAGTTTTTTATAGAAACTACTGTAGCTGTTGCACTGCTTCACAATGTTTCAAACAGCTCAAAATAACTTTATAACATAAAAGATATGATTATAACAGTACGATATTAGGTCATCATAAATAATTATTACAAATCCTATCAAATATGGAAGTTTAAAAAACAAATTTAAGACATACAATTTAACTTTAAACCCTTAACAGGGATACACTTTTACCACATAAACCCCACTATTTTAACTAGGCAGCAAAAAATGTAGTAAGGGCATAGGTCTAGACATTAATGTTTTCACCCTTGTAAGTGCCAAGACACACCAGAAGTCTCCCAGCTTTCAGACAGAGATGTGCACTAAGCTGGAATGTAAATGAGAGAAAATGGCAAGGCATTTTTCTCCCTGACCAGCACACTCTGCCTGGCATCCAGTGACATTTCTGATGACTGGTAATTCAGAATTCAACTTGGTTTACTGTATAATCCCTGACTCTCGCTGTGGTGCCAAACAGCATAGCTCCACATGTACATATTGCACACCTTTATAAAGCTGAAAATGCAGTCTTACCATCACCAGAACCACCACCACCACCACTCCCCTACGCTGATCTCCACCTGAACTGGCCTGTTTTCTAGAGTGCAATTACAAAGCTGTCTCTTTTAAATCATTCAGATTTGGCATTCGCGACCGGTTTGTTCGGTTATACGTGTGCCCGTTCTGGCCGCTCTTGGCAGGCAGCTGATCGGAGTAGGGAGGCCCATCGCTCGCGCTCCTGTTCACTGGGGAGACGTGCCAGGTAGGTTCCAGCTGGCTTGGTATCTGCAGCGTTGGCCTGCTCTTCGGCTGAGGCTCTTGCCGCACGTTGCTGCTGCCGCTGCCGGAGCTTTGACTCATGGGGTGAATTCGCACTTCAGAAAAAGCAGCTTTGGCTGGCTGGCTGGGTAACGGCTGGAAGCGAGGCTCAGCAGGGACAGGATGATTGGAAGAGGAGAGGTGTAAGAGCTTTCGAAGAGATTTTAATGGCTGGCTCTGAAAGACATGGAGAAAGGCACTTGACCTTCTGCTCTCCATCATATCAGACTTCCTGTAACAAAACTGTCATATCCTAAACTGAACATCTTGAACTTCACAGGACTTCTTCACTTCTAATTTGTATTCATTTGGAATATTTCATTCCAAGCTATGACTACACACCTGAGAAAATGTCTTCTCATTGTGGTTCAATCTATTAGCTACTGGAAAAGATGGGAACTTCTGTACACCGGGAAAAACAGTTGTTCCCATCAATTACTTTAACCTTGTTTCCTATGAAAAAGGAGGCACAGACAATTGCATTAGCTGTCCATCTGTCACTGCTTCTGCTATTAACTTTAGAACCTCAGCCACATTTATGAGGCACAGATATGAGAAATACAAATTTCCTAAATATTCCGTGAACATCCATTAGAGGTTAGAGAGGGTCTTGAGTAATCATCTGTACTGAAATAAGGGCTGGCAGAACTCAGCAATTAGATACTTGGTTTGCCCGCAGCTGGGTGATAAGCTGCTTTAGTCCCTCACAGCTTCTTTAACTGGTGAGCAGGTTGAAGGAAAATGGAGACATGGGGTTACTAAAATGGGTAGCAAGGGCCTGGGGAAGCCTGAGTACACAAGGTGGTATGAAAACAGCCTCATTAAATTCCACAGCTCACAGAGCAACTTGCTTCTTCAAACACTGCTGCTGCAACGAACCCTCCTCTTCAGCTTTCAATGTTCTAGTGGCAACAGAGCATGGCACTGAAGCTCCATCCCAAACCCTGCCCCCAAAGCTGGTTTTGTAACTGACGAAAATAAAGTTGCATTAGTGCAGCACTATGCTCCAATAACACAGCCCGCTTAAACCACAGCCTGTGCCAGTTGAGGCACCGTCACACCGTAACGTGGTCACGATGATTTGGTGACCCCAGCAAGCATCAAGCTCTGTCAAGCAGCAATGTGCCCTCAGGATGCACCGTCCTTGCAGAGGCTAACTGGGGGGCTTTTCTACAGCGCTGCATAGCTACCATAGAGAAGCACTGAAACACTGCTTGCCTCTAACACAAGAACATAACTGATATTTTGAAAGGCTCAAAGACTGACAGAGGGACATTTAGTCTCTCTTCTTTTCCTTGTCATTCATGTCTAGATTTTCAAAGAATTATGCAGAACTGTAGGCACATGATTTTTCACATTCAATGAGTGGGGGAGTGGGGAATGGGGAGGCTGGGAAATAATGTCAAATGCAATTTTTCTATTCACCAGAGAAAAAGCTATGAAGATACCTCAGTGATCTTAAAATACAGAGAACTGATAATGCCACTTACATGAGGTGGGATTTCTGTCATCTTCTCAGGATGCCAATCCTTCTGCCTGCTGCTCTGGTGATTAGAAGAATGAATGGCTTTCTGTAATGCCAAGAGATCCTGACCATCACTACTAGGCATCTGCAATAAAGTATTAGACACTGGTTTCCTAACATATTCTTAAGAATAGCTGTAAAAAATTTCCCCCAGTTAATTACAGACCACAAGTGAAGCCCATTGCTGCAGCAGAATTGCAATGATCTTTCAGTATTTTTCCCCACAGTAAGAGCAAGTAGCTGTGGATATCATGCAGATTTGCTATATATACCCTTAGCCCTTAAAGCATTTGCATGCTGTTAAGTGTTATTTGCTGTAAGAGAGAGCAGTTAAACAAGGCTTCAAAAAATAAAACGAAATTAAAAAAATTGTTGAGCCTCATCTTCATTTAAAAAGCATTCCATACTGCAGTTAAGACCATGGATCAGTTCCATAAATTTGTTCCTGAGTGAAGCAGGCTAAAATCTCTCTAAACTGATGTATGGCTCATTATGTATGGCCAAAACAAAACTAAGAGCTTTTCTTTTCTCCATCTTTCTCCTCCTCCACAAATATCCCAAATTAAAGCAAAAATTAAGAAACTCTCCACCCCCCACCCCAAACAAGCTGAAAAACCAACAAAATATATGGCGGAAGGATAATTTAAAACTAGTATGTAGAGTTTTATCTAATTTCAAGGAGTCTAAGTAAAAAAAATCCATTAAAATTTAACCTATTTTTAATGCAAGCTGTCTTTTATCATGAACAATCAGGACAAACAAAAATACAGCAGGCATAAGGTAATCTGTTGTTAATATTTGATTAAATTTCTATATAAAGGAGTAGTTTTAATAAAAAAGTATATTTCCAATATAGCCATAAAACAAACCAGGTTATTTTTTTTTCCTGATTGAAACAGAATGAGACAGTTTAATTTTAAACATACACGATTTCACAACTATCTTCCTCCTTGAGTCTTAATCCTATGGCTCATTCTCTCTGGAACTGTGTATGTTACATTTTCAGTATATCAAATACTAAAAAAAAAAAATATTTTTAGGTACAATATATTTCAACAGAACTACCAATTTTACTTAAATTTATCGAACTGGCCCAAGATACTTAACTGGCATGAAGAGAAAATGATCCCATGAAAATAAAACACATGCTGCTGTAGTCAGTAAAACAAGTTTACTGGAGCATTTTACAGTGCTACTGTACTTAAAAATTAATACCATGGGTAGAGTGACTACAGGAAGCTTTTTCAAAGAAGAACTATGCTTTAAATTATTCTTTGAATTAAAAAGAGGAAAGAGGGATTTCTTGATGCTTGGATTCTCCCCGTTGGTTGAGTCTGTCTGCAATATAAGATACAAAAACTAAATGCATAGTATTTCAATTCAAGAGATCTGTCCTTACTATAGTAATAATTTTTCCTTTTTCCCTTTTTTTTTTTTTCCCCAATTCTGACAATATGTGGTATCAATCCCATAATTTGCTTTGGGAAAATACAATAGTGATTAAATTAAAAAAAGCATATGGAACAAATTCAAGGAACTTAATGCATATAAAGCATGTAAAAAGAGATCAGTATACCTATTCTTATATTCATATTCATTAGGAATGCAGAGTGCATTTCAAAGCCTTTTGGAAACAACTGGTAGGTCTTGTTGACTTTACTGAGCTTTGGATCAAAATCCTGTAATTCTGGCAATCATTTGTGACTTAGGATAATGACCTATAGTGGTATGGCATTTCTTATTTTTATATAAATAAAATATCAAAGATACACTAACAATAATAGCCGCTGGTTTCAGAATGAGCAGTTGATAGCTACCTCTAAGAAATAAAAGTATTCTATATTTAATTTGTAAAAAGAGCTAGGGCTCCAAGATTAATTATTTCAGTTTTGAGAAAAATATGCCTTCAACAACTTCACATATAACTGCAAGGGCACTGGCTGTTTTACTTTAATTTCTGTAATACAACCAAAAGAGCATACCAATACATGCACAAACAACAAACAGAACTATCAAGTATTAAAATGATGAATGTGACTCTTTCTACCCTGCTCAGGTACAAATAAGCATAGGACACATATGCTGTGTCTAGCATCGTTCTGTCTTACAAAAGAAAACTTTATAATACAATATAATGTCTACATGACTAAAGAGAACCATGGGTGCACTACACGAAGCAAGGGTTTTCAAACAGCTTTCTCAGCTTCCAGATTCCATCCAAGTTAATGAATGACAGAGCCACTAACGAGCATAGCTTGTTTAGGAACTTTACAGTCAGAAGAATTTCCTGTTCCAAGTTCAGCAAATTAAAAAGGAATCAAAGCATCACTAGGAGAAACGCTCACCTGGAACTGTTTTTTCCAAAGCAGATAATTCCTTCAGACCCATAGCTTGCAATATGTGCCAAAATCTGCAAAACTCGGGCTCCTCTGAAGACGGAGCCTGTTGACACTGTGCACTACCATGCACATGGGTATCAGAAAAAGCTGTGACACTAGCAATCCTCAAAACCTTTTGCTACATTACTAAAAGACTCCAAACAAGATGAAAAGGAGAATGCATGAGAACAGCTCTGTAAAAACACTACTGCAAAGAATTCCCAGAGCAGGCTGTAACAATTATTATCCCACGAGGAACTGCACCCGGAGAACTCTGGGGAGAATGATTAATGGGAACAACTCTGCAGGAAGAAGTGTCAGGAATTGCGATCAGTTCTGGGCTATTAGAGATTCTGAGAATGACATTATTATCTTCTTCAATCCAATTTCAGTTATCTTTTATGACTCTCATGATGACCACCAGCAAAATGAGACTTGCCAAAGGACAGCATAAGTACCTAGCTGTAAGTAGTGTTGTGACAGTTCTCAGGCCTACTTTGTTAGTTGCTGCAGAAAGCCTGTGTCAGACTAAGTGGAATTTCATACTTCTAGGATTCCAAGAATTATAGCCTTAAAAAAACCCTTGAGTAGTCACAAGCTATATGTTAGGCTTTTAATATTAATTAATGGAAATATTATTCATGCAGCTGAAGAGCTAATATTACAATGCTTTTAACAGCTTTTACCACTGAAGTCAAACTTGATGCTGAACTGAAAGTAATAATTTTTGTTTGTGCTGGAAGATCTACATGAACATCCCGATGTTTGTTAGGCAGACATCCTCAACTAACAGATGAAGAAGAACAAACAACACTGTCTGAACCAGACACTTGTACACACATCGGTGGGTACAGTTTGTCCCTAGATAGGGTCCTGTTAAACAGCTGTAATAGAAATGAGAAGAGGTTTTTCAGTCTCTGCTTGGGTCCAAAGATCAAGTTGATGTCAGCAAGTTTCTAGCTCAGGATGCAACAGTTTTAACACTATCTAATTTCACAAACTTATTCCTCTTCTTGTGAGATACTAGCTCACATAATTTTCCCTTATGCAAAACCTCTCTCTATCCCCTCCCTCTCTATCCCTCTCCGCAAGACTGAGAAGAAACAGGAGCATGGATTATGTGTAACTCTGTCCTGTCTTGTAATCAGTGATGTGTTTGGTACCTACAGATCAAGGTAATTGTGATTTAGATGTTTTGGAAAGTGCTGGATTTTGAGAAGCAACACAATCCAGTCTGTATTTCCTTCACATAGCTTAACCTGGAAGTAGTCGATACACCATCTATCAGCTGGGCTCTTAAAGTGTTCTCTGTCACCACATCTGAATGGCTGGAATCACAGTACGCTAGAACAGTGCAAATTTAACACCTTTTTTTTGTTGTTGTTGGAAAACGCATCACTGGAACCAATGGCCTTAGGTGTGATATCCTTTCAAGGCTACTTTGATATAAAATAATCACAGAGTTATAATCTAGGTATTTTGTTCAGTTGTGTAATGCAAATGATCGTATTCAAATGGGGTACAGGTGTGATAGTTCCACTGGACTAGCCCTTGGCTAGCAGCCAACACAGCCGTTCACCCACTTCCCCCCCCACCCCCAGGGGATAGGGGAGAGGGCTGGGGCAAGGATTAGGAGGCTTGTAGGTTGAGATAAAAACAGTTTAATAGAAATAAAGTTTTAACAGTTTTAATAGAAATAAAAGAAAACTTAAAAAAAAAA